AAAAAATGCTTGGTCTTCCTCAAAATTCACATCTGCCCTGTTACCTAAGGGCACTAATGGCAATGCGGCATAGGGGTTAATGTGCCGAGACTACATGCTGCACTGTCATGGTACGAGTCCCGCTGGGGTGTTGATAAGACTTAGGCGAAGCCGAAACTGCAGTCCGTCCTGGATGAGAATACCTTTCTGGAAGCAAGGCTATGTGAAATTCAGTGGAAACGTAAGATCTACTCATTGCATTGTGGGAAAATTCAACTAACAATCCTCTTATCTCCTTAGACGGGATAGGGTGAATAAGCTTCATAGATAAATGATCTTCTGTTAGTCTTTAAAACCTACCTACAAACGACGATTCGTATTGTTCGTCTCTCGAGGTTACATCCAAAGGCATTTACCTTTGACGCCCACCATCTAAAAAGGGCCACTTGATCTAAACAATTATCAGTTGGGTTCGGCATATTAGGTAAGTTATCGACAGACAATCAAAGAATTATAAGAAGCATTACTTCATCATAGTCTACCTTAAAAGTGCATCTTCAGAAGAATTAATTAACTATCTTACAACAATTTGCAATTGTTTAATGAGAAAGCGAGTAAAGTTAACATTTATTGATTAAATTGTGCTGGAACTAATGTCTATCTTAAGGGCTGAGCGCAATAGCCTTAGCTACGACCACTTTTAAACTCTAACAAATCACTTTTATGGCTCAGTTAAAAGGTCACTCTTAGGTCATACTTTGAGACAGTCCTACCACCGTCAATACTCGGAATGTTTGTAACAAGCTTCAGTGAAAATATCATTTTGGAAATGCTTGCTTTTTTTCTTTAAAGATGATTTTGTTTTCCGATACCTTTATTAGAAAGGAGTCATCCACGAGTATAAAAATATTTTCGTATGTCCTAGTTCATCTCGTATTTTTGAAAAAAGTTTTTGAATGGTTTGCTCTGCCTAGCTCAAATGTGGTTGTTTCTAAATGCCCTTGTCGGATCTCCGTATTTGCTTTTAAATGATTTTCCTCTTTCTCATGTCGTATCCATGTCTAGCCGGCATAGTGCAACTCCCTCGAGAATGCCATCTGAATCTTTTGCAATGATTTCATTCAGGCAAATTGGGTTCTCAAGGCGGTGTTCGACTTTTAGCTTAGATATTGCCAATTAATAGCGCATATAACTTACTTTATATTACTATGACTATAAAAAAATAGAATATTTTATCCATCAAAGAGTGAGTAAATAGAGCATATAAAGTGTCATTTCAATTGAACCCACTGGGCTATGAATAATATACGAATGCCACTCAATTCTGCTTCTTCACTTATCTGCCTCCACTCAGAACTGCCACTTGTCAGCCTCCTGGATGATCCGGCTGGAGGAAGTGATCAAAAGGAGAGCTGAGTCACCCCAAGATGTTCACAAAAACTTCCGTCTCTTCCTCAGCTCTATGCCGGCCAAGTCTTTTCCAATCTCGGTGCTGCAGAACTCCGTTAAGGTGACCAACGAGCCACCCAAGGGTCTGAGGGCCAACATCAAACGTGCCTTAAATGAATTAAACCAGAAGCAGTTTGAAAAACACAGTAAGCTTTATGATTGCCGACTTATGTGTTAGGCACCTACTGTTACTACACCAAAGTACCCGGTCCCTAAGTGATCTAGAATGATGTATTGCATTTTCGACCTTATCTTATGCTCATCGCATCATTTTCATCGTCCTGCATCCAAAGAAACTTCAGCGCTTTGTCATTAGCGATGAGCCTTCTCATTTAAATGAGATTCGTAGATAGCTTCGACACCAATTCATTTTTTCTCACAAATAATTTACTCTGTTTGGGATACCGTAGAGACTTAAGCAATGAAAAAAGTGTGGTCCACTTTAGATAAGATAATCCCTGCAAAAATTAGGTTTATTTTCAAATACTCAGATCAACAATATTTCTCTTTTAAACAGTATACTAAGCATTGTCCTAAAAGGGAAAGATTTAATACTGAGGGGTTAGTTATCCCAGTTTGTAGTCTATCTTAATTAAGGTGGAAGTTATATATAGTTATTTCTACACTGGAGACTCTCATACAATTAGTCAACCTAGTCCACATAAGGTGATTAAAGCCTTATAATTGAATTTATCCACAGTGAAGTGAATAGGCCTTACACTTTAGTGAATTTCACTTTGCTAATCTTCCTGCTGAACTTCAGTTTTAATTTCACCTGAGCCTGGTCTTCTTTGAAATGCATATATGCCCTTTGACCCATTGGCACTCATGGCAATGTTGCGTTGTAATAATATGTCGAAAATAGACGCTGCACTACCCGGGTTCTATTTCCATTAGCGGACCTGATGAGACCCAGGCGAGGTGAGAATCCCTTACAAAAAACAAGGCTAGGCGAAATTTAATGAAAACATGAGTCTTAATTAAATCATTGTATGAAAATTCTTTATTAGTCCCTAATCAAACCTATTTCATATATTTATACATTTTTTACTTATAAGCATCTGGAACTAGTACGTGATTTGCATCTTCAAATTGATCTGAGTAATAGAGTTAGAGATGCTGAAAGCCTTGTGTCATCTTCCTAATTGCTTTATTACATCCTTCGGGATATGGAATAATTGGCTCTTCGTATTGTGTCTCGCAGTTAATTAGTCATTTGTTTATTTGCTTAGTTCTAATAAATATACTTGAGATAACGGGGAGTCAAGCAGCCCTAATTTTGATTGTTGAGTAAGAGTTTATTTATTTTTGAGCCTGGACCTCATATGAGATTTTTTGTATCATATCAGGAAACATTTAAATGTCATTTGTAATCATCACAAGCTCATTTGCTTAAAACTTAAATGTATGAAGATCTTAGAGAAAGTGAAGTTCTTACTTCAGATCGGAACAGTGAACTAAGGGGTGTATAGATAATTTTCATCAGAAGGAGTATATTGATTGGCTCTGGATCTTGGTTCGTCTTCAGGGCTTTCTCTTCATTTTGAGCATAGCAATCTTTAATACACCGTTGATCGATCCCGATTTGATATGTACATGGAAGATGTCCAGACTTATTTCGGCCTAGCAAAACACCAAGATGGCAGATTATACCGAAGTCATGCTGCCAACGCCGAAGATATATTATGCTCCAGCTTTAGATATTATTTTTTAGCAAGACATTTTCTTCCTCGAGGAGGAATTTAACTCGGGCCCTTTTCAAATTGCAAATAGTGTTTAAGTCTATATAGGATAAGTAACGGATCCGTTATATATGTGTATATATAGCATTGTCAAAAATAATGTGAATCGGGCCCATATAAATAATTTAGTTTCCTAGCCTCATTTAGCATATATATATAAAAACTGGTTTTTCGAAGAATCTCTTAATAGATTTATGTTGGAGTACCTTTCATTTCGTCTGAAGAGGCGAATGTAAGAGATTCGTACGTTGGTCTCACCGAAAGTCGAAGGAGAGTTGCGAATGTCGGTTTGTGCGAATAAGTCGTCTGCTCCCTTTCGATTTACAGTGAGACTAATTTACAAATATATCGACTCGCTTCGTCAAATCAAATGAAATGTACTCCAACTTCATTTATACTGTATATCTAGATGCGGTAATTTTGTGCCAAATAACACACTGACACTCTCCTCACGTGGAGGACATGGTTGAA